ATGGATTAAACGAAATTTGCATAAAATACCATAAGGTCTATGACTGAGTTCCAAAATGTATTGTTCAGGTTCCAGGGCAGTCTCAATTGCTCCAGTCTTTTAGAAAAGATGATGATGCTATCTTAGAATGCCAATTTTGAATTTCGATATCTTGACATTTTTGTCTAAATTCACTTATAAACATTTCAATATTCCTACAGTAATCCAAACATAAGTAAATCCACTTCAGAAATAAGTAGATGTGTGATCCAGTTGTAGCTGCCACTATTATCTTGCGGTTTTAACATTTCATACCAAGATTTGGGATGTCAACGATCTCAGTGTGTAATATCCTGCCCCAATATTTGATACATCTGCTGTAATATTTTAGTGTTTCCCCTTCAGCGGTTTAGAAGGGCACCTGACCTTTTTTCCTTTTTGAGTAATAAGCACCACCTTCCTCACATGACACTTTTCAAGCCACTTGTTAGCCTATCTTGCAAGTGTATCTCAGGCCAAGAATGCAACCTATACAAGCCATGTGATTATACATGATTTTATTGATAGCCAGTCATAAGTTGTGGAAGAGAAGATTCAGACCAAGATGAGGAACAGTAAATCATATGGCTTGATGATGGACGAGTATACTGATCTTGTATCTTTACTGGAAGATACGTAGAAGAAGGAGAAACAAAGTTGGCTTCCTTGGAGATGTGCAGATACCTAATGGCACCGCTGGTACTATAGTTGACAACATCAAGGACGATCTTCATTATGCAGACCTAGACAAGAACAACATGACTTGTTTTGCCACCGATGGACCTGCTGTCATGACAGGAAAGAAGAATGGTGTGGTTGCCCACCTGAAAAAGGAGAATCCAAGTCTGATTGACGTTCACTGCATTAATCACAGGATGCAGCTTGCAGAGAGCTCTACCTTCAAATCTGTTACGTGGATGAGCTTTTGATGGGACTTTAAGTACAATCACTACAGTACTGTCAGAACAAAATCCTGGAACAGATGCAAAAACTATCAAATGCTGTGGAGTCACCTGAAGAAATCCAGGACTCTTAAAATTAAGAAGACAGTACAAACAGGATGGTTGAGTCATGAGAAAGCAGTCCACACTGTCCCTCAGCTGTATCCAGCCATTTAGTCGTTTTGGAAAATGCTGTTGTATGGGCAAAGAGTGGGTGACAAGACAGTCTGAGTGTAACAGCTGAAAGCCTCTACAAGCAACTCAAGTCCTATGACAAACTGTATATCAACTTCCTCCTGTGTGATGTTTGTTCAACAGTGTCAACCCTCACTAAGCTATTTCACAGAGAAGAGACCTGGACCTGAGTGGTGTGGAGCCCCAACTTCAGAGTACTATAAACATCCTTCGTAAGATGAAAGAGAGTCCCAACGAGGACTGAAAGTGGAGGAATCAAGAGACTTGTTCCTGGACCGTTTTGTTTCAAACTTGGAGGAGAGGCTGGCCTACACCCCTACATTGACAAACCTATCATCCTTGAACCTGAGGAAGGCTGGAGATGCGTTTTCCAGATCTTCCTTGGTGATGCAGAGGTATATCATTTTAGTATTTTTCTGACACAACACACAAGATTTTGTTATACATTTTTGCCAATCTTAAATCCAAAAACTGTTATTTATTTCTATAAATAGTCAGCAATAGTCATTGTCTTTTAATAGTTTACAACCTGTTACAGATAAATATTCTTTACATAGGTATTTATCTGTAACAAATAAGATATCACATTTTATTTGTTATATATCTTAGAGCTAGCTGATCGCTTTGGCCGAGATGCTGACCAGACCCTGACAGAGTGGACAGCAGTGAAGGAGATGTTCACTGAGGACATCAATACTGAAGACCCTGACAACACTGAAACCAGAGACAGGTGCCCTGTATCCCAATGTGGTGAAGTTCCTTGGGATCCATGCTACTGTCATCCTGTCAACATCTAAGGTGTCGAGCGTGTTCTCCCAAGCGAAGCTAGTTGTGACTGAGCACAGGAACAGATTGAAAATCAGCAACTGTAACAAGCTCATCATGATCAGCCTGAACACAGACAGCCATAATGAGATTGTCTTTAAAGCTGTGAAAAGCTTCCTGAGAAGAAAGCAAAGGAGACTGTAGGCCTTGAGAGTGAACATTGCAAATGTGCATGGTACACAAGCTGAATAACCTGAAGCAAATAGGACTTAACGACTGGAAGGTACTTCTATCATGCTTTTCCCATTCTACATCAAAAGTTATATGAGGATATATATAATAACACATTATGATAGCATAAAGTAACTTAGAACAACTTGTATTTTGATAAATTAATTTCTTATGTCTGCATTTGTAGGATATGTCTTTGAAAAAAAGGGACAATAAATGAGGCTGAATTTCAAGATTTTCTTTTTGAAAGTGGTTTGTGGCCAATCAAACCAGTGTGCACGTTTTGAAAAAGCTGGATATCTAAATGACTAGATTATCTTTACTATGAGTATAATTAGAATCAACTTCTTTTATTTTGTGTGAGCAATATTTGAATACAGATTCTTGTGCCATTGTCAAGCTTTGCCCATTGTGCCAGAGGACAGTGTGAGTGATGTGTGTTGGCAGGCCCAAGAGGATGCTCCTCCTTGGGTTAATGTTGAGAACCAATGAATGTCCCCAAATAACAAATCACATGGAAGGGAGACATAGAAAACTGACTATTATTGCAGAAACCCAACCAAACATTTTCAAGATAACTGACTACTTGTAAAAAGAACAGTCTTATGACGAGGCATCATGCATGCAGCAGAGAGGTGGTGCAAAACCACTAAAGATGAAGTATGTCCATTTCCATAGTAGATTGTGTAAGAACAAATTGTGGCAGGAAACATGAATGTGCATGCGTATTATGACAGTTTTAACTGCCAATGGAATTGTGTACATATTTGCATGTATTACTGTATATTTTATATGTGCTAATAAATAAACTGACAAACATGATCATAACATCACCTAATTATGTCCATGCGATACTGAATGTTGAATACTATGGTATATTTTAAGTGATACTTAATGTTGAATATTATTGGGGGTATCTTATATCACAGGGATAATTGTTTTAGAGACAATTATTGTCCAGAGGATTACTCCTCTTTACCTAGTGGTGGGTAAATGAGAAGACCCCTCCCTTCTTCATGCCTGTCACCAGAACTCTACAATTCAATGGCATACCAATAAAAATGTTCATCTATCTACCTTCTGCAGACATCAACATTCCAGTGAAAGAGAGATCTTAAAAAATAGCAAATATAATCTTTGTCTAAAACATATTCACAATCCAGGTTCATGTGAAAAAGGAAAATTTCATTGGGTAAAATAATACCCCAAAACTGATGAAGCAGAGAATATGGTAGAAGCATTTAGTCAAATGACTAATGGGCTGGAACATGACTTCTATATTCCACAACAGCTCAGTATAAGCAGGACCCAAACAGACTGTTACATGCAGAGAAGCATCAGTTTGATCGCGTTGTATCCAACCTTCCTAAACAAGGCACCCTCAAAACCTGTGAGAGCATTTGCACCTTTTGAAAGCCACCAAACTGACTTAGTAGATTTCAACAGCAAATTAGAAACCAAAGATGGGATCACCTATCGCTTTGTGTTGTCCAAATTGGATGTTTTTTTATATGTTTTTTTTTATGGCTTAGGCCACTATGTGACTTAACATCACAGGGTGTTATTAAAATTTTAATGCAGGTGAACCTAGATCAACAGTGGGTGCTCTCAAAATTATCCAAACTGATCAGGGTGGAGAGTTTAATGACATGCTGAATTCACTCTCTGAAAAACCCACGTGAGTCAGGCTCATCCCTTCTCAAGCCAACCACCCAGTCTCGAGGAAAGGTAAGGAATTGACAAGTCTAAATAAGTTATTGCATTGGACACCATATTTTCACTAGTAGCATATTAAAGGAATAGTTTAATGAAAATGACATTTCAAACATAAATTTAATTGTAGTGTTGACATAGAGTATGGAAGGATTGTTTTCTGTACGACCTTCAACAGTCTTCCTGACTATTGCCACATTCACAATGAATCAGTCATCTCAGCAATTGGTAAGATATTCAAGAGCAAAGAAAATGGCCTTGATCATGGCAGTATCTCCTACAAAAAATAAGTCCTTGTGACTGATGAGTCACACTACTGGTCTACCTGTGGTCTTGCATTACTCCTTCTCAAACATTTTGTAATAAGGCCATGCCAGTATAAGCCGTCGTTAATCTGTGGTTTGTTCTGAGTGTATTCTGATATACTGCACATTATATTTTCAGGTTGCAACCCTTACAAAGCCATGTTTGGATTCCATCCACACCATATCACCAGTTTGTTGAAAACAGGAGGGAAAAGTATGGATGGGTACATATATGAAGACAGTGCAGGATATGAAACTGTTTGGAACATTCTCAGGTGATTGATTATAAATAGATTTAACCAACCTTGCTAGACTGAAAGATCTTCAGGAAATCAGGAGAGAAGTCCTTACGAAATCTGACCAATCTTCATCTAAAACGGTAGATAAATATTTGAAGGCAATTCCCTCTTCTCAATATGATGTGGGGGAGATCATCCTTCTTCGTAATATGGGTAAAGACAAAGGAGTAACCAGGGGTGGGCAGAAGATCACCTCTGCAATAGCTGTCGTGGGCGAGATTTTGCAAGTTAACAACAACCTCCACAAATACAAGGTGTGCATAGGGAAAAAAGTGTCATGTTGATCTGTTAAGTCAAATAACAGAGTTGACAAGACAAAAGGAAGCAGAAATGGCCAAGTAAACATAGAGGTACAGTCAGTTAAGGTCATTTGTTCTGCTAATGTACATGTCCCCTATGCATCTAAGTTTTAGAAAAAATTATGTTAATAAGTAGTCTGTAGGTCACTTGAAAAATAATGTTAATACTCAAGACATTAATCTTGTTTACATTTCAGCGTTTCACAAACTTATTGTTTGCTTTTTAACATGTGCATATACTGAGTCAAAAAAGAAACTTCACAAAATGTAATTTGAAAAATAATGAATAATCTTTCTCTGATGATACATCTATGTATCCGAAATGGGATCCCTATCTTTCGACTCTAGAAAAACGTTAGCAAAACCCACTCAAACCCATCCAGTCATCGTGCAAATGACGTTAGTGCCAAATCAGGTTTGCACGTGCAGTCGATCAAGTGATATTCGAATCGAAGTTTTCTCCATATGCACATGTTTGCATTGGCCTCAAGAATTGAAAAAAAAACACTTTTAAACCACAGTTCTAACGGTACTTGAAATGCCACGATTGTCAAATGTAGAACGTGAACTTGCCGTTGGCATGTTGCAAGCGGGAAGATCAGTTATTGACGTCGCAAAAGCAATGGGATGCAGCCATCGTACGGTGTATGACTTGCGAGGTCGTCTACAACAAACTGGCACCACTTCTGATCGCCCAAGGTCAGGTCGTCCACGTGTGAGATCATGAGCACAAGACCGTAGAATCGTCCTACGTCACCTATGACAGATTTCTGCCGGCTACACGAACCAGGGCTGAGATGTTTAGAGGTCGACTGTCCTCACAGACCATTCGAAATCGGTTGCGGGCTGCCAATCTCCATTCTCAACGTCCATATCCTGGGCCAATATTGACGCCGTTTCATCAACGTCAACGTCTGCTGTGGGCCCAACGTCACCTCCGTTGGACCCAGAGAGACTGGAATCGAGTCGTCTTTAGCGATGAATCCAGGTTTACCCTCAGATTCGCGGACGGCAGGCATCGAGTCTGGAGACGACGTCGTGAACGGTATGCCCAATGTTGTGTACAGGAAGTCGACAGATTCGGGGGCGGAAGTTGCATGGTGCTTTCTGTGGGAACAACTGTTCCCGATTTCTGGTCATCCGTGGAAACCTCACAGCTGCTGCTTACCGCGAATAGGTGCTCACCCCTGAACTCGTTCCCTTAATGGCGGCTCATGGCCCCAGGTCTACTGTTCCAACATGATAATGCTCGGCCGCATACCGCGATGTTGACACGAAATTGATTTCAAAACGCTGGAATCAACGTCATGGACTGGTCATCGAGGTCCCCTGACCTTAATCCCAATAGAGCACGTTTGGGATGCACTTGGGAGAAGGCTTCGTGGTCTTAGGAACCAACCTCAGAATTTGCAGGAACTTAGCGCTGCCTTGCAAGAGCAATGGCGCAGAATCCCCAACCAAGTGTTCACAAGCATCAGGCAGTCGATGAGGAGACGGTGTTTGGCAGTGGTGAATGCGCAGGGCGTCCATACATGATATTGAACTGAGAAATTTCGCATTTTTATTCTTGTGACTTGACATTCTGTATACCCATGTTTTGGAACGGCGGTCTAGCCTAATGGAACTGATTATGGCACTGTCAGTGTACCGAGTACATCACAGAGATCTCAGCAATGAAATAATAACAATTTAACCATCTTACCATCTCTTGTTCTTGTATAGTGCCCTGATGAAAGAATGTGAAGTTTCTTTTTTGACTCAGTATATATGCCCAGACTTAAAATGCTTTTTGGACTGTACAATTATATATAATATAAATGTGAACACAGATAAAGGAAGCAAAAACAACATTTACCACTTATTTGCAAGCAAGAAGGAAAGAAAATCTAAATAATTATATTAATGTGTCCATGTTCTTCATCTAATTGCCAGTTCTGAAATTTGACACGTTTTCAGATCTCTACATGAATGTCATGGCACTTCAAAAGCAAATGATGGCCCCATCAGCATTATCCTATGTCCATCTTCTCCAGAAATTGGAAGATTTGGCAAGGGAAAGTCTATTGTTATTCTAAAGAAATATTCACTTTATTATTACATAAAACACTGTGCAGAAGTGGCCAGACTTGCCCATATATAGATACAATTTACTGCATTTCTATACATATTAGCAGCATAATTATTAAACTATAAAAACAATTCCAATGCTCTTCACATCCGACATTTTCTGGTTCTATTTGTGGACATACTCATATATTATTAAAAGGAATAATTAGCTATATTAGCATATATAATATCATTATATATGGCAAGACAGCAATATTTCAAATTAAGGAGCAGAAACATTAGAATCACATCAAGAATGAGAAAAAACAACATTCTCAGTACAGACAGCCTTAAACAAAGCACATAGTAACAGTTTAAATTAAGCTGTAATCACAAAATAGGAGAAGTGACTGCTGAAATCATTTTCAGTATAAAAGTTCAGGTCACGGTTGTTCTGTACCATATGTGAATTTCACCATGGCATCGGCGAAGAACAAACGACAAGGTTACAGTTGCAGAGAAATTGGCCCTCATCAAGAGTTTGGAATGGAGTCACAGGTCAGTGTCAGTCGCAGCACTGGATTCCCATCAGGCACGGTAAGGGGCTGGTTAAAAGATGAGAAGTTGAAGGGATTCATGATGGAGACAGAAGATATTGGGGGTCTTAGCTTAACTCATTCAGGCTGAGAGACGCACATGTGCGACAAATTAATTAGCTGCTCAGTGAGAGCCACCCATGTGCAACAACAGAAAGCACCTCTTATTCAGCGAGAGATGCACATGCGTGTCATACTTTTAAACATCCCACTGTACCTATTATTTCAATCAATTTAGTAGTACTGAGCAAAGATTAGCTTTTCGTACGAGAGTTGCTACCTTTAGCGTTAATCAGAAGAAGTATTTAAAGTGTTTTGATAGCAATTGCTAATCATTATCATAGGCTTATACAGTGTTTTGCAAATGAACACATGTTGGCGAGAAAGGGGATTATCATGTTTTTACAGAGGAAAGTGTCTGTTACTCTTCATTGGGAGTTGATACTAAAATGCTTCTTATGCATATTGATTGAATTAGATGTGATGGCTTAGAGGTTACTGAAGATTTTTTTTTCTTCAACTACCTTATAAATAGGAAACAATATACAAGATTTCAAGGACATAAAAAGAAATCCAACACATTAGAATAGTGTGAATTTACTTTCTAGGTATTATTACGTTGTCATGTTTCATATAATGAATCGTGAACACAAATAATTATACATCCAAGCTCGAGTAGATTAGACATAAGTTCCTAATTTAAAGCTTACTGAATTGTAACTATTTATTTTTCATAATCTAAAGTTGATAATGTTACCTAACCGAATATATATACATGTCAGTGTTATTACAACAATGAAATTGTTTACTACGTTTGTTACAAAACACAGTAAGTTGGTAATTCAAAACATTGTCACACATGGACAGAATTACTATCATAAGTTATTACATGTAAACCTTACAAAGGTCTTTCAAGGATTTTTGTTCAAGCTGTTGAAAATTTCATGTTGATTTGAATTGTCAGTTTTCTATGCAATTTACATGAGCACTGTGTGAAAACTCTATTTGATCTCTGTAATTATCTGATCCGGTGTAATTATAAAGTGCATCAATGAACTCAGTCTCTATTGATCCTTCATCAATAAAAGCTGGATAGTATATCAGTTACGGTAACGATACTCATGCGTATAATCATTTAATCAGATTACAGTAATGAGATAACTGAACACCTCTTTCGACCTTGAAATAACAGATTCCGGTAGAATGCATATGTAGTTACGCGCTTGTTCAAAGGTTTGTCCTGTGACAAGTGTAAAACAAACAGATGCGATGTTATATCATTGGACAACCTGCTTTATGGAGTCACGCCCCTCTTTGTAATGTTTATGCATACAATCTGTACTCTTATGCACCTCATTTACATTCAGTATGAATATAGGCACGCCTATCTTCATAAATATTTGGGGGGATTAAACTGCAAGTTTATACATTATAATAATTCAGTATCGTGTCACTTTTTGAATTCTATAATACGTGTACTTTAATTTGGATATTCATTCGTATCAAGGTGAAGATAATATTTATATGTACAGCAAAACATTATGTTTTATGTACTAGCTGTGTGCGTAAAATGTATATGAAAATATATACTATCTCTACTCAATGGTTGGATTTCAAATTACTTCGTTTTACTTATCGAAAAACACTAAAATGAGTTTTCGATCTCTGAGATCTTTCTCCTCCTAGTTGTCATATGTGTATTATTTCATAGATCATTACGATTATGTATGTTTACAATACACAAACTGTTACATGATAGCTTGAGTTGATAAAGCCGAAACCCAGCATATCGACTGGTCAACGATATAGCCAATAATCAATCTCTATCCAAGCTGTTGAGTGACCAAACGTGCTCTTCAGAAATTTCGCCCACGCCCCATCACCTATCCCTTCCTCTGTGACAGGTATCTCATGATACGATTGGTCACAGATAACAAATGATCAGCCACTATATTGAACAGCTGAGATGCCGAACGTTCTATTCGGGAAATTTGATGACGCCCTATCACATGACTCTTTGTTTTATGTCTATACTAGGAATATGTAGTATACAATTTGTATATGTGTGTTTGTATGATAATGTATGTTTTTTGCATTACATCTAGATGAAACAGATTGCCAAGCTATGAATGTGCTCTATGTAAGTCACAGACTAGCGTAATAGTACTTTCCTTAAAATATTCAGTATACACTAGAAATGTATCGGCAAAAACGCTAATATCGTAGAAGACTGACTGACTGAGCAATATTCCAGCAACATCACGGCAGGGGACACATGAAATTGGCTTCACACATTGTACCCGTGTGGGGATTCGAACCCGGGTGACGAGCCAACGCTTTAACCACTAGGAATATCGTAGAAGATTATGAAGCATGTAAGTAAATTCTTCTTTACAGTCTGTCATTGTCATAGATGTTTTGTAAACTTAAACCTCACACAATGATATAAAGAAAGAGTTTGTTTATGTATGTCTCATCTCTTACATACAAAAAATGCATACATATGTTGATAAAATATAAATGTACAAGCCACCAAAGGTCTACAAGAGAAACTTGCAATAAAATTACATAAAACATTGCAATACATGATATGAGTTCACACCTGCTTTCTTTTAAACATCTTTACAACACAATCAAACAATCAGAGCTTGATTGTACGACTAGACAGTTTCCGGTCATACCTGAAACCTTCCAGGGAAATCACGTGTGAACAGCACTAATTAGCCTCGCAACAGTGAGCAGGGCAATCAGTGAGGGGTTCCAGGTGTTGTGTAGTGAAGTGTATCTCGGGCTTAATGAGTTAAAGAAGGCTAAGACTGCATACGACACAACGCTGGACTAAGCTCTTTTTTC